AAGTAAATTAACTCACTACTAGGATTTTTAAAGATCTTTATTAACAAAATAAAACATCAAGGTCCTTTTAGTTTACAGGCAAGAATTTTACTACATGGTAAAATCTTGCTGTCTTTTAGACTCAGAATTAGTGAAAATAATCAGCATTGGGATAATTTTTGCAAGAAGAGAGACAGGGGTATTTCACCTTATATAGGTGTCAGAATTAGAAATGGAGATTAAGCCTCAAGCATAAAATGAGAAGTTTTACTGTAGAGGTTGACTCTCATGAGCTGCTGCAAGCACAGCTATGCCAGAAGGCACATGCTAAGAAAAGCATAACTTTGGATCCATTTGTTTAAAAATTAAGTTGTGTTTCTCTTTTCAAGTCAGTGGAAAGTAAGACAAAGTTTTAAGAAATAGTAATGGGGATTGGTGAGTGCTGATGCTCTTCCAAGTGTAGATTTCAGGAAAATAGAATCCTGAAGGTCACAGTAAAACTAAAACTCTGGCATAGTACAAGTACTTGAAAAAGCATATTGTGTAAATGTAAGCAATTGATATATAAACATATATATATTTGTATATGTCTCTCTATATATATCTATAAGAAGAAACATTAGTGTACATATGTTTTATTTACTTGTTTGTTCTTCATATGTGTGGTTGTGATCATTTATATTTACAGTATTTATTTCATGTCTAATTTGCATATAGGTTCCACCTGGTGGAGTTCCTGTAGGTACTAGGTGTTAATTTTGTGATTGTTCTTTTGGTAATTGCTGTGATACATTTGTTTGTTCTTTTTCTTTTCCTTTAAAACACATAGGCATTACTTCATTATCACTCATAAAGGTATCTATAACTATACTACACAAATTTAAATATATTTACATCATGTTATTGATTACAGTACTAAGATATTGTGTAGAATACAAATTTCATTTTGAAATTAGATGGATTATTACTATTATTTTTTTAGTTCATGACAAACGTTAGTCATTTATCATGCCATTTTTTCCCTAAAAATGTTTGAGATTAAACCTTTTTGAACTAAGTATTTCAGGCAACTACTTCCAATTAATTAAAATTGACAGATGAGATAATTTTTTGTCATTTCTTGTTATGCTTTGTAATTTATATGTAGACACTTAAGTGTGTATATATATATGTGCACATATACATATATACATTTCTATATTGTATGTGCATATATATGAGCATGCATATAATCTTGTGTGTGTGTGTGTGTGTGCTATCATATTTTGGTTCCAATTAGAAAATCTGTTAAAATTTAATAGACTGTCATATTTGAATATAGTTGTATATGATGGGGTGTTTTCATTTATTTTTACTTTTGTTTACCTTTGCATTTATATACGGATTTACTTTAGCATTTATTCTTTCTGTTTCTTATGAGTGCATGTTAGAGTTTATTGTATTCTCCTGAAAAATAGTATATAAATCAATATAGGAATATATTATACTTTTGGTTAATAAATTTAGGGTAAAATAAATATTACTTTGTATTGGGGAAAAGATCACTTATTAATCAACTCTCTGTGTACCTATTGATTTAGAACACTAATACTCATTTTAAGAAAACTCATAGACACAACAGCTATATAAAATCTACTGTCCCCACTAGAATATGAAGCCAGAGTATTATTTGTCAATTTACATCCTAGTTCATAAAATTTATGAGCATGTGAATATTACATGATCAAGGGTATTAAAAATATATAAATGTTGACTAAACTTGAGTCATTAACTGTAGGAATTGTAAAATTCAAATATATTTGTGAAATCAAAACTGATATTAAGATGTAGCTTGACAAAAAATAACTTGTTTATAAAGGAATTGATAGGAGATGGATATTTGACTTCATATGCAAATTGTTCCTTTAAAAAATTCTTTTACCCAGACTTATTTCTAGTCAAGAACAGCAAAATCTTTAACTGTAAATACTGTCTATCAAACAATAGGTTTGTTGGTATTGACATGTATTAATTGAAATTTGACATTGATATTACATGAAATTTCCATAAAATTCACAAAATGATGTATTGTAATTTTTGGAAGACTCTTGATATACCACATATGAAACTAGTAGTATCTTTACAAATGAATCTAAAAAGTTAAACTTTGAGTGATAATTTGTTGAACATTTCTAAGTCTGTCTTTTTCAATTTTTACACTGGAATAAATGACAAGATATTTACCAATAACATTTATGTATATATATATATAGATATTAACAAGGTTATTTTAAATACACATAAATGACAAAGAGTTATATTTTGATCAGAGATTAACTGTGCAAAGAAGATTATAATGAGCTACAATATGCTATGTATAGTGCTAGTTTTTGTATGGTATTATTTCTTTCCAGTAAAACAAGTAATATACCATTCTGGGAAATGTTACCTTAGTCTGTAGCTACTTATCATAAAAGGACTTAAGAAGTAGAGACAGTTAAATTATCAAAGGACCTTTAAAATCTCTGGTTATACAATATGAGAGAGTCTGTTTATGGAGTATTGATGTATGCATCATCTTCAAATGGCAAGCATTTGACAAAAAATAAAAACCTTGGGACTTTCATAAAATTGGTAATTGGTAAAATAGAATGGTGCTACTTGTAACACAATCATATTATACTACATTCACATATGCACACACAGGTTCACAACTTAATACTCACTGCAGTATTGCATTATAACAATAATACTTGACATATGAAAATGCTTAAAAACATATGGCGAACATATGAATAAATATATCTAACAAATTTACTAACAGAAGATATAGTTGAATAGAAGAAAAAAATTAGAGAAACTTTAGGTATAGAGGTAGTAGAGAATGACAGAAGGATTTGAACAAAAGAAAAAATAAATAAATATTTGGGAAGTAAGTTACACAGCAAAATTTGCTCATTGTGCATTATTAGGACCTAAAGAAATGAGTAAAGTAAAAGGCACCATTGGTATATTTATAAAACAGAAAAATATAAATTGAAAAGCCCAGTAATTAGATAAAATCAAGGATAAACATTCATACTTTAATTTTTCATTGATTGAAACTGCATGTTAGCTAACATTTTTGATCACCTCTAAAATAATAATTGAATTTCATTACAATTGACTCTAAAATATAACAATATAACAATAATCCTCAAAAATGTAGCTAAATATATTTAGTTATATGCATTTTATATTATAATTTACTTTTATAAATAATTTATTTTAAAAATTAGCATATTTGATTAATCAAAATATCTCAATTTCTAGTTATATTGAATAACTGGGTTCATGACACAAAAATGGAAACGACTGAAGTGCCTGTTTGAAAATATCAGATTGTAAAGCCTCTTGGTCTTTCTTTTGATATCTTTGAACAGTTTAAAAATAACTAGGCAAATGTCAGTAATTATCTATAGTATTCATATTTTAGTGTTTCAGAATAAATGTAGCACAGTGACCTTAAATCAAAATCATGGACATAGAAGTTATCACAGAATGAATATCATGAATACATAACTCATTTCAGGTTTAAATGAAACCATTCATTTCAAAATTATTTGAAATATACACATATTTCAGCTTTTAAAAGATGTACAAATTAAAGTATATCATGGATGAAATGATGTCCACTTTTTATTATAATAGTATACTTTACCACTTTTGCATTTTACGTAGAAATCATAAACATGAGTTCTATTTTGTCAAATGAAAACATGTTTAACAATTTCCTACTCTCTGCTCTGCCCTAAGCCCTTAATGCCAGACTTAAAAAACTGTTTTATAATATTAAATAACATTTCACATCATGAATCGCATAATATTTTAAATAGTACCATATTCTATAAAAGTATCTTATCATCTCTTTTTCCTAGCCTTCTTGATATAGTCTTTGCCCCACTTGGCTTCCTTTTCCCCTACAGAGAGACAAATCCAGGCATCCCCACTTTATGCACTTTATGTCATTGTTCTTTCTTTCAGTTGCAAAAATAATGTCTTATTTTTCAGGAGTGGCAATGAAATTGTGAAGGGTTTCCAATGCTAGGTTAATTATCTCTCAGTCTTGAATTTTGAAATACCTTTTTAAGTATTTATAATTTTTGACTAGACTTTTCTATTAGGCACATGTACTTAATTCAAACATTTTCAATCAAATCATCTGAAACATTTTAATTAAAATAAATATTATGTTTCCCTTTGGAGAATCTTTGCAACATTAAAATAAGGAAGGGTAAGCGTGATATTTTTAGGTAATGATTAATACATAACCAATTTTATTTCTATTTTGCACTCTAATTGAGAACAAGATAGTAATATGCATATGTGTAGTTTATTACTACAAATGAAGTAATTATAAAATCGTTTGCTAAAAGTCTGGACTCCAATTTCTTTCCCTTGCTTTTACTTCTTATTTTTCGAGTCCATTAAAATTCTGGAAAATACTGATATCAAAAAATCAGTAGGAATCTATTTAATTGGGTTTTCTTTCCTTCTTTCTGTTATTTTTCTTTTTTTTTCCACATTAATTATACTAGTACATATTTTAGTATTTTATATTCCACAATATGAGTCACTATCTTTTTGGATACTTCAGCTTGTTTATGAATTAAGTATTTAGTTAAATCTCTCTTTTCCTTTAGAAATTCTTAATAAATTTATATATATATTTGCAATAAATTTCAAAAAGTAACTACCAGGTAACGAACTGATAACTGCATTATTTATTCAACATTTTAAATAATGGCATTTTTTTTCAAAGACAAAAGATCCAGAGCTTCACCTTTTTCTGAATGATTACACTTCAGTCTTCACGGTTACTCAGACTGGTATCATTCGCTACCTCACCTTACTACAACCAGTGGACAGGGAAGAACAGCAAACTTACACCTTTTCGGTAAAGAGATTTCATATATATGTGTGTGCGTGTGTGTGTGCGTGTGTGTGTATTTAATTTAAATAAAGAGATGTCTGGTTAAAATTTAAAAAGTCAATTATTTGAGGGAAAAATGCAATATTTTCAACATCAAAGAGAATATCAAAACAAAAAATTATTCACATGTACTTTTCCTTATTTTGTTAATAACTTTGTTTAACAATATTAATATTTTCCCCTTAAAAGAAAAAAAAACAATGCTTCAGGGCAAAAACAAAAAAAATGGGAATTTCATTTATCATCTTACACTTATAATTGACTAAAATTGAGATATACATGAAGAATTATTTCCTAACGTTTGTTGTTATTGTTGTTGTTACTGAATTTTTAATTTTGTTGTAGGTTTTAGCCAGTGATTCTCAACTGGGGATAATTTTTCCTTCAGAGAACATTTGGCAATGTCTGGAGGCATTTTGGGTTGTCACAATTGTGAAAATGTGCTGCTGGCATCTGGTGGATAGACAGACATAAAGGATGCTGCTAAACACTTTATAATACAGAGAAAATTCCCTCACAACAAAGGATTATCTGTCCTAAAATGTCAATGGTACTGTGGTGGAGAAATCCTGCATTAAGCTAATCAAAGGGAAAAAAGTGAAGGTTGTTAAAATTGCTTTTGTAAATATATATCATGACATAAGAAAAAATATATATAACTCGTACAGTAGGGTTGAGAGATAAATACAGATTAAAAGGAAGTTCTAACTATATCCAAATTCTTGAATCAGACATAGGAGAAAGATGAGCTGATAGAAAGCACAAGTTTGGTAGTTATACAGGAGTTCTGGAGAAACCTAGACAGCAGAAAACCAGAGCTTCCAGACTAGCTATGTGACAGTTAAAACTTAGATACAGAGTGGATTTTAGAAGTCATTCAGAAAAGGATGATGGTGTTTTAGCATTGATTTTGTTTGTCAGGTATTCTTAAAATATTGACACTGTAATTATATATCACTATTAACTAATTCTAATGAGTCCTTTAAAATTTATCCTTTTGTCAATTACTAGAATACAATATTATATATCTAGAGCAACTACTTTCTTGACTGATACAAGCATGTTTACTGTAAATTGTATTGCATACAAAATATGTAAAAGTGGAGAATAGTTTCCAGATAACGTTTTTAAGGATTAAATTACAGTTAACTCTTAAGAATCACCAATGTTATTGGCCCACTTTAAGCTTCTAAGATATTTCATACATCTGCTTATTTAAAATATACTTTTACTTGAATACATTAAAAGTAAAACAGAATCCCCAATATTTGCTTCTTAGCACATTAAAATAATTTTGATAGTGTAGTATTATATTTTATTGCTTTTTAAATCAACAAAACATTTTAGTATCTTTTTAAAATTATAAATTGCATGTAAGAAACTTTTTAAACCGTAAAAGCAAATTCTGTACTGCTTATATTTGCATGACTTCTATACTAAGTGTATTTTTCTACCCCCAAAGATAACAGCATTTGATGGTGTACAAGAAAGTGAGCCAGTTATTGTCAATATCCGAGTGATGGATGCAAATGATAACACCCCAACGTTCCCTGAAATATCCTATGATGTCTACGTTTATACAGATATGAACCCTGGAGACAGTGTCATACAGGTAACTACCCATATAATATAGGGATATACTCAAAACAGTTTTTCCAAGGCCATCACACAATGTGTTTCTTAAGAAATTGCTTTACCTCAGAGTCAGACCTCATAATTTTAAGTTGCTTTCAGGCCAGGAATGCCTTGATCTGATATACATTTTTAGAGTATTTGAATGGCTTTAAATTATTCCAAATGATTTATATAAATTAAATAATAATAAATAATAAACAAATAATATATATTTTATTCCTAGATAACTAGTTCATGATATTAATAAAGCAGCACAAGTGCCTCAACAATGTTTAATCTTCATGTTATGGTCCTTGTTTTTCTCTCTAGCTTTGTCTTTGTCTCTCTATTCTTGTACTTAAGCTTCAGTCATGCTGAACTATGTACCTCCATTCATCTGATTGTTCTTGCTCTTTCTCATTTTCTGGAATTATTTCTTCCGCCTTCAACTCTTTCACTTCTAATTATGGCTTTACTACTTTGTTCTTACCCTTTTAGATTCTTTTCTTTCTATGGAAGCATCTCTTAGTAAGTTTCAGTAGGTAGTTCCTAGAAATTCTTTCTTAGTAGCTCCTGTACATGCAATTGAGCAGTAACCTAGCAGTTTGTAGCCAAGACACTATGATACAATGAGAAAACTTCCCTAATTACCTGGTGTTAATAGCCCCCAGGCCATGCAGGCACACACTCATTCTTTCTCTATATGTTAACCGCTCTCATCAAGGTCATAGATGTTATAAACATTGGAAAGTATTGTTTTTCTTTCCCTCACCCCAAATGGAGTTCAGTAACTCTAAGTGTCTTGTTTGCCATTTTAATGAATACCACATGCAGACATATTAGCCATACAGTAAATATTTATTCAAAAGATGATCACCAACTTTACATTATCTAATTTTTAATATAAATTAGAAATGATTCAATGCTATTCTTATTAATGAGTTAAGATATGCTTTCTTGAGTTATATAGAAAGTTTGACGTGATAGCCTGGGGGCTAGAAATTCACCTGAACATTTACCATGTATGTAAATATCCTCTGGTATGTATGTGGTAATGGGGAAAAAGGTTTCAAATTGCCACAGTAAATTTTATTCATATATTGGTTAGCAGGTGTCACATTAATGAAATTAATTTGTTTTTACCCATTTGTTTGGAGGGCAGAACTGTAATTAGTTTAATTCTGTATCCATAGCATCTATATCCACAGTGCTTGACAAATTGTATATGCTTAATATAGTAGATGCTTTATAAATAAATGTTTGAGGATGAAAGTAAGGAGGACCAGCAGATAAGTAGAAATGAATGAATAAAAATATGAATGAATGAGAAGATGTATATTTTTCTTTACTGAAGCACCCTTTCACAGGTAGAAAAATTATAATTTATTCAGATAAAGGAATGACAATTATTGTCATGTTCTTATTTAATGAGATATGATTCTCATCTCTATAATGACATAATTGGAAATAAAAGTAAGTTTATACAGAAAAGCAGCCAGCAGGCAACTAGAAAGTGTAACTAATAAAATGACAGCAATTATCTGGTAGAATTGTATGTATCTCAACAGTGTTTGCCTTAGGGGATCAAAAGCTGGCATTCTGGTATTTGAAGGCTATAGAAGTTAATTTACCTTGTATATCTCTTTATAAAACATATCTTCCCTTATATTTAAAGACTTATATTTTATACATGTCCATGAACTATGAAGATTATAAAGATAGTTATTTGTGTCTATATGCTTGTATTTTTCTAAAATTATTTAAAAAGCAAGGAATGAAGCTTTATAATTAGCATTTTTAATGTTATTCCTAGTATGTAGTAAAAGAATGATGTGACTATAAAGCATCCTCCAAGAACCTAGAAGTAAAAGAAAATAGATCTGTCATTGAGAGAAAAAAATTACAACAAAAATGATGTAAAACTGTGATGTGCAAATACCCTTCAGTGGTTACAACATAGGTTCCTATGCTTTACCTCATCAAAATACCTTTCCACGTTGCCCCAACAGAAGATCAGTTTCCTGTTTGATTAGTGTCAGGTCCGGCCTCTTGGTGGACTGTTGTCCTGGTTCAGTGGCTCCTTGCTTGGAAAAATCACAAACAGGGCTTGTGCAACGGAGTGAATGCAGACAGGAAGCAATTCCACACAAACAGCTTTTATTGCAGAAAAGAAGGAAGCTGTAGAAAGTGAAAATACATTCTAGAGAGGAACGTGTCAGTTTCCATGAGTGGAGAAAGATGTTAAGGACTCCCAGGTGGTTTCCTTTTATTGGCTTTGTCCAGGGACAGGCTTACGGGTGGTGTGGGATGTTAACTGATTATTGATATATTTGATTCTCAGGTGTTCTGCATTTTCCTGCAGTCCCTTTCCCTGACTAGTCGCTGGCTTTCTTTGCCCCTAAGATGCATCCTCTTTGCCTGTATCTGCCATGTGAAGATTTGGTCCCTGCCTAACAGTTAACCTAATGTCAAAAAGACTGAAAGTGTTAGAAACAAAGGTGACAATGAGCACTCTCAAGAAAAAAAGAGTCTGGGATAATAGGTTTTAATTATTGTAATGTCATTTTCAGGTATACCGTGAGACTGTTTTGGCCTGATATGAATATATATACTCAATTATTTGAGTATGATATTTTCTTATTATAAGGTAGCTATCCTTTCTACAAGTGAATGGGTTGATCATAAAGATGTAACTAGGTCCTTGTTAAAAGTTTTCAGTTATAAATTGGACTTCTGACTCAATATATGCAATACATGCTCTTTAGAAAATGGATCTCACCTTATCTTTAAAGATGTATATTTTCTATATTTCCATGAACTATGCAAATTATGAAGATAGATTGTTGTATGGAAAGATGCTGATGAAGATGAAGATGCTGCTTTAGGCAATACTCCTCTTTCTGTGGTTCATGACCCCCATGTGTGAAAATCACTCTGGCCCTTTTTACTGTAATCAAGCATAAGAAAAGGACCAGGGTGATTCTCATATATATGGATCATGAACTACAGTAAGAGGAGTATTGCCTTAAAGCAGCATCTTCATCTTCCATAACTAGAACTGAAGTGTAACCATATTATTAGTACATTACATTTTGGGGAAAATTGCTGGCATGAGAGAATTTACTTTTCAATTTATGCAGACCATTTTATGGGCCATCAATGAAATCTTACAGGTTGACACTAATTGATATCATGTTGCTGTATCTTTATGATTTCATTCCACATATTGCTAGTTTTCTTATAAAATCAATTGCTCTATATCAAAGATACAGATTTTAATGTGCTCTTATAATATTTTGAAGATGTAGATTTAAATATCAGTAGCTAACTATCCAACTCATATACTCCATAAACATTGTTCCTAAATATTTGCAATTCTCTTACATCAATGATTCTCAATCATAATTGAGTGTAAGATTTCTGTCATGTATAATAAAAACTATCATATGACAGGCACACTAAAAGCCCCAACTTATACAAGGTATCCATGTAAAAAAATTCATACTCCTTTAATATATTGGAATTTAAAAAAAAATGAATGCCAACCTTCTATCCTAAAATATTTTTATTTAAATGATCTATCCACCCATAATAGAATCACATGGAGAGATTTTATTTAAGAACATGAAGCAGCTCTAATATATAGCCAGTTAAGAATCATTGCCTTAAACTTTAACAGTGTTTTGTACCACTGACTAATCGTACTTCTTGAGTCATTAAAATGGAGTTCCAAACAGAGTTGAGTTTCTGATCCACACTTCATGTCTTTCTGTTTTTCTTGTTCTTCAGTTCTCCTTATTTTGTTCTGTCATATTTCTCACTTTTCTTTTCTGCTTTAGAGTCCATTCCTTTCCGTCCCTGTAATCCATTAATTATTCTATTTCTTTCACTACAACAATCTCTTTGTCTCTGCTGATTCCTTTCCTTTGGCCTATAAACATTTTTAAATATCCCCGTGCCCTGGCCTAACCACTCCTCCCAGATAGAATTATTCATGTTGCTATTTCATTATGATTCCTTACTTCATTCATAAAATTATCTAAATTTATTAATCAAGTGCCTACATATCTATATTTTATCTATATATATGTATTTGTATTTATCTGTATAATCTGGATTTCACTCACATCGCACAAATAATAATAATCATATAAAATCATACATATCATCCGTCTATCTCTAAATGTTAACCTCAAAGCATTTCTCAGCAAAACTCTCAACTTCATCCTTTTATGGAAAACATCCATGGTTCTCATCCTAGCTCTCTGTTGGCTGAGGGATATTGCCACTGGCTCCTTATTCAATTATTACCCTTTAAATATTCCATTCTTTAACAATCTATATATAAATCTCTCTTTCATCTATTTCCAAGTTTTCAATCATCACCTCTATTTATTCTTGTGTTTCCTAAAGTTAAATGTCCTGTGATGACCTCTGGTGCTGAACATCAAGCTGATATTATAACTACATGACTATCTGCATCTTTGAAACTCACTTCAAACAGGACATATTGCAAGATCAGTTAACTCTCCACTATCTTTCTTCTAATACATAAGCCCACACAGACTAAAAACACATCCAGTCCCCTTTGGAGGCTACTATATTGTGAAGCTCAGCATTAATTTTTAGGTTACATAGCAGCAGGCTAGTGACTTTGGAGTTGTGTTTGTTTTCACTACCCTTCACCTGCGTACATCCAAATTATGGTTCAGTTTATGTGATTTCTATTTTAAAAGGTATCTCAATCATCATTTCTTTTCTTTTCTTTTCTTTTTTTGTTAAAGACTTAGTTTTGTAGAGAAGTTTTAGGTACACAGAAAAATTAAGAGGAAGATACAGTGATCTCCATATATCCCCTGCCCCCACACATGCATAGCCTGCTAAATATTAATATCCCCTACCAAAGCAATACATTTGTTATATTAATAATTGATAAGCTCACATTGACACATCATAATCACCCAAAAAAGTCTGTAGTTTGCATTAGTGTTGACTTTT